CTTGTGCCTCCCCTCCCCTCCAAGGGTGCCCAGGCAAGCCAAGGGAAGGCAGTTTGCCTTCCCTTCACTTTAAGGGGGGGCTTGCCCACGCTCCCTGCAGCTGCGGGGCACCCAGGCAAGCCAAGGGAAGGCACTTTAAACTGCCTCCCCTCCCCTCTAAGGGCCGGCTTGCCTGGGCTCCCCACAGCCGCAGGGTGCCCAGGCAAGACAAGGAAAGGCATAGGGCGGTGGCCTAATATGCTAATGAGTTTCTGTTGTTGGGTGTGGCCTATTATGCTAATGTTCCTGCTGGGCTTTTTCTACAAAAAAAGCCCTGCCAGAAACTCTAATGGTTTTAGAGTTTCTGGCAATTCCTAGAGCTACTTGAGCTCACTTACGGGTTTAAATGTAGCAATGTCACAAGATTTTCATCCCCCCCCCCCGCTACTGCTCTGAGTGGTGGCAGGCGACAGGGCTGGCAGGCCTAGCTAGGCCTCTCTTCAGGCCTGCCATGGACTGCGGAACCCTTTCCAGAAGATGCAATATACTCTTATGGAGTTTGGGTGGATTAGAACCTAGCAACTAGCGGGAGAGCTGTGATGATGTTGGCAACGTCGCTATGCCCCTTCTGGGAAAATCCTGTTAGGGACAGAGGATAACTTTCAGGAATTGCTGGAAGCTCGGAAGTGACATAGTGATGTTGGTGACGTCCAATGTTCCCTCTAAGCTGAGGAGTCTTGTGAGCAAAAATTCTACTTTGTGAGCTGCTGGCATTAAAGTTGCGAGTGAGCAATTTGGCTACTGCATAAATTAGCCTGCTCTGGAGCCCTCCTTCCTGAGCTAAGACAAAAATGTGTGAGCCGGAGGCTAAAAAACTGTGAGCTAGCTCACACTAACTCAGCTTAGAGGGAACTCTGGTGACGTCGCTATTTTTATTTTTCTCTCACCATCATTGAGCTAGGCCTCTCTTCGGACCTGCGATGCTAGGCCTCTCTTTGGGCCTGCGATGCTAGGCCTCTCTCTGGGTCTGCCAAGGAGTGCTGAATGATTTCTAGATTACACTCTTATAGGGGTTTGCCGGAGTAGATCGGGTTCATTCAATTCTTTCAAAAATCTTTTCAGGGTAGAACCTGTTGGCAACTCATTCCGCTGTGTGCTTATGCCACCAAACACAATATAAAACCAGCCATGTGGGAACACCTGTGTAAGAAACATTGGCCAAGTAAGACTGATGGTAAACTCTCCCCTCACCAGATATGACTGCGTAAATTTTCGCCTCAAAATTCTCATCAGCTTAAAAAAAAACACCCCACTATTTAAAAAAATAAATAAATATGAAAATCCTGTTTAAATTTAACTATCACAAACTTTACCACCCAACAAAGCCTTCTGCCAGTTGACCTCTCTTGGCTTACCTCGATGAAGGTGTTGAGCGTCGCATTGGTTGGGTTGTGAGTGATCAGGAACCTCATGTTCTTGTAGCAGACCTCCACAGGTGCGGGCCGATTCATTCGGGCCATGGTGAAAAATAAACGTGAGATTGGGGGCTGGGCCAAGAACACCCCAAAATGAAAAAAAACACCAAAAAACCCCAAAACAAAAACAATTTGCAGGACAAAAAGAAGGAAAACAAAATTCCCAAGCGTTTGGCAAAATGCTTCTCCCTCACTAAAATCAAGGTTGTGCAAATATTCCCAGATGTTTTGGGGGGAGGGTTTGTCGGATTCTCTAAATTATCCAACAAGAAAGAAAAGGAACCCTGTGCTTGAATTCCGAATAATACTTAAAAAAAAAAATCCTTTTGTAGTGTCAATTTCCTTTGCGTGTGCAATTTTAGAGCAGTCGTCCCTTGGCGGCGTCCGGCTTCCCTTCTTTGCTCTCCCCTCTCTGGAAAGGCCTCTGCATTCGGTTGTACCAGCTGGCGTCCCCTCCGGTGCCGTCACGTTACCCCATCTGGATATGTGAAATATTTGGGGGCAGTGATGGAAGCCCGGTGCAGGTCAGGCTGGGGCGGCAGCCAGGAAAAGTCCTCCCTCGGCTTCAAGAGCCATGCACGGGAGATCTGAATGGTTAAGCCCGGAGGCTTAGTGCCAGGTGAGGGCGGGGCGTCGGCGTCCTGGGTTCAGCGGGCGGGATGTTGTGCGTGGCAGTGCTCAAAGGTTCGCCCGAGCCCCTCCATAAATCCACAGCGGATCAGCATGCAAGACAATCTGAAAGAAGAGAGAGAGGAGAGAAACGCTGGTCAGCGGGTGACGGCGGGAAGCGGCTTTATACTGAACCAGACCGTGGGTTTGGCCAAGGCCAGCATTGTCTACTCAGATTTGACCAAGGTCAGCAGCACTCCAAGGTCTCAGGCAGAGGGGTTTCCCATCATCTCCTGCTTGGTCACTTTGACCGGAGATTGAACCTGGGACTTCCTGCCTGCATAGCAGAGGCTCTTCCACTGAGCCACAGGCCCCTCTCCCAAGAACATAAGAACATAAGAGAAGCCGACGTTGGATCAGGCCAATGGCCAACCCAGTCCAACACTCTGTCACACAGTGGCCAAAAATACCAGGTGCCATCAGGAGGTCCACCAGTGGGGCCAGGACACTAGAAGCCCTCCCACTCTTGCCCCCCCCCCCAAGCACCAAGAACACAGAGCATCACTTGTCCCAGAGTTCCTCTCTATACCTTGTGGCTAATAGCCACTGATGGGCCTCTGCTCCATATGCTTATCTAATTCCCTCTTGAAGCCATCCATGCTTGTAGCTGCCACCACCTCCTGCAGCAGTGAATTCCATGTGTTAACCACTCTTTGGGTGAAGAAGGACTTCCTTTTATCTGTTCTAACCCGACAGCTCAGCAATTTCATTGAGTGCGCACGAGTTCTCGTATTGTGAGAAAGGGAGAAAAGTTCTTCTTTCCCATGCATAATCTTATAAACCTCAATCATGTCACCCCTCAGCCGTCGATTCTCCATGCTAAAGAGCCCTAAGCGCTTTAACCTTTCTTCATGGGGAAAGTGTTCCAACCCTTTTATCATTCGAGTTGCCCTTTTATGCACTTTTCCCAAAGCTATAATATCCTTTTTAAGGGGTGGTGACCAGAACTGTACACAGTACTCCAAATGAGGTCACACCATTGATTTTTATAGGGGCATTATGATACTGGCTGATCTGTTTTCAATTCCCTTCCTAATAATCCCCAGCATAGCATTGGCCTTTTTGATTGCAGTCGTACACTGTCTCGACATTTTCATTGAGTTATCTACTACGACTCCGAGATCTCTCTCTTCGTCAGTCTCTGCCAGTTCGGACCCCATCAACGTGTATTTATAGTTAGGATTTTTGGCTTCAATGTGCATCACTTTGCACTTGGCCACACTGAACCCCATTTGCCACGTCTTAAGATCAAAAAGCTGCACCGAAGGGTAAAGAAGGAGGAGAAAGAAAAGGAGGAGATTGGATTTATACCCCACTCTTCACTACCCAAAGGAGTCTCAGAGTGGCTCACAATCTCCTTTCCCTTCCCCTCCCCACAACAGACACCCCGTGAGCAATGCTCCCTCTAAGCTGCGGAGTCTCGTGAGCTACTGGCAGTAAAGTTGTGAACGAGCAATTTGGCTACTGCATAAATCAGTTTGCTCTGGAGCCATCCTTCGTGAGCTAAGACGAAAAATGTCTGCGCCGCAGGCTAAACAACTGTGAGCTAGCTCACACTAACTCAGCTTAGAGGGAACACTGCCTGTGAGGTAGGTGGGGCTGAGAGAGCTCTTTCAAGAACTGCCCTTGAGAGAACAGCCCTGAAAGAACTTGTGATTGACCCAAGGTCACACCAGCAGATGCACGGGGAGGAGTAGGGACTCAAACCCGGCTCTCCCAGATTAGAGACCGCACTCCTAACCACCACAACAAACGTAGCTCTTACATGAGCCTACAAAAAGCAGTTTATATCGGAAGCTCTGCACAGAAGAAGAAGAAGAGGAGATTGGATTTATACCCCGCCCTTCACTTGGAGTCTCAGAGCGGCTTACAAACTCCTTTCCCTCCCCCTCCCCACAACAGACACCCTGTGAGGTGGGTGGGGCCGAGAGAGCTCTTGACAGAAACTGCTCTTTTTCAAGGACAGCTCTGACAGAACTTGTGACTGACCCAAGGTCACATCAGCAGGTGCAAGTGGAGGAGTGGGGAATCAAACCCGGCTCTCCCAGATTAGAGTCTGCGCACTTAACCACTACACCAAACTGGCTCTCTTTCTTATGAATAAACAGCCTGTGGTGGAAAATGCTGTCAAGTTGCAGCCGACTTATGGCAACGCGACAGGTCAGGGTTCCTCAGTGTGGTTGGGCAGATGTTAAATATGTTGCTCTGGTAGAATCTTCACTGTGTGAACGGAAGCGAGAGGCGGCAACCGCTCAGTGGCCGGCTTCGCATCGCAGCCCACCGTGCCGTATCGGGACCCACGCTCCCACTGAGCGCTGGAGTCTTGCGAGCAAACATTCTACTCTGTGAGCTACTGGCATTAAAGCGGTGAGCGGGCGATTTGGCTGCTGCATAAATTAGTTTGCTCTGGAGCCACCTTTCCTGAGCTGAGACAAAAAAATGTGTGAGTCGGAGGCTCACACTGACTCAGCTTAGAGGGAACATGGAGCAGGACTCCAAAGGTGCCCACCGGCTTAAAAAGGTTGAGGGCCCCGGATGTAGGGTTTTCAAAGCAAGAGACATTGCCTGCGTCTGCACAGCAATCGTAGACTTCCTTGGCAGGCCAGTCAATCTGTCTGTCTGTCTGTCTATCTAGCCATACATCTATATATCTCCAAAGAGAGAAGAAAAGAGATTGGATTTAGACCCCGCCCTTCACTACCCGAAGGGGTCTCAGAGCGGCTTACAATCTCCTTTCCCTCCCCGCAACAGACACCCTGTGAAGTAGGTGAGGCCGAGAGAGCTCTCCCAAGAACTGCCCTTGAGAGAAAAGCTCTGAGAGAACTTGTGACTGACCCAAGGTCACACCAGCAGCTATATGTGGAGGAGTAGGGAATCAAATCCGGATCTCCCAGATTAGAGTCTGCGCTACACCAAACTGGCTCTCCAAAGTTCTAGCCCTCATAGTACCAGAGACGTTGCCACGGGAGCAGAATGAGAGGCAGTTAAATTAGGAAAAGAATATTGCTGAATTATTTTAAAAAACAACAACGAAGACTGGCATCTTGAACCGAAACTTCCACTAACAACAGAACTGACCTTGTTGTCAAGGGTTCTGCACCCTGGCTGAATTTTCCACCTTAGCAGTTCCTACCTGACACAACACCAGAACAGAGGAAGTAAACATGGAACAAGTCACCTGAAGCTGGTGTTAAAGACTTTGTAAGACGGCTTGGTCAACTTATGGCCACCCCGTAGGGTTTTCAAAGCGAGAGACATTCGGTTTTGCCACCGCCTGCCTCTGCGTGGCAACCCTGGACTTCCTCGGCGGTCTCCCATCCAACTAATAACCAGGGCTGACCCTGCTTAGCTTCCGAAATCTGACGAGCCTGGGCACCCTGGGCCACAGAACAACACAAAACAAAATGGCGGCCACCTTGACTTCCCACGTAAAGTGCTGCAGAGTGTACCACATATGCCTCCGATTCCGGTACCTTTCTCTCCTCCCTTCTTCAACAGAGGATGGTTTTAAAAGAGCTGGCCACCAGTAGCTCGAAGTGGCCCCGACAAAACGACTGTCACAATAAGGGAGGCAATGAGGTCACAATGCGGAGACAGGGGAGGAGGAGGAAGCCACTGCGTTACAATTTATTATTGCGAGGATTTTAGTTTTAAAAAATTAGGCATATAGCGGCGAGATCCTCCAGTATATGGTGGAAACCTGGACATCAAAATTATGAACTCGGATGCATGCATTGGACACAGGTATGCTTTTGGTAAGGTTTTATTCATCGCGGTGAGAGTTGCTCTTTTGCACCCCCTTAACTAGCCAAGACTGAGCTAGGTTCTGGGAAGGGGAGAGGCTGTGGCTCAGTGGTAGAGGCTCTGCTTGGCATGCAGAAGGTCCCAAGTTCAATCCCCAGCATCTCCAGTTAAAAGGACCAGACAGAAGGTGATGTGAAAGCCCTCTGCCTGAGACCCCGGAGAGCTGTAAAGAGGAGGCTGTGGCTCAGTGGCAGAGCGTCTGCTTGGCATGCAGAAGGTCCCAAGTTCAATCCCCAGCATCTCCAGTTAAAAGGACCAGACAGAAGGTGATGTGAAAGCCCTCTGCCTGAGACCCCGGAGAGCTGTAAAGAGGAGGCTGTGGCTCAGTGGCAGAGCGTCTGCTTGGCATGCAGAAGGTCCCAAGTTCAATCCCCAGCATCTCCAGTTAAAAAGACCGGACAGAAGGTGATGTGAAAGACCTCTGCCTGAGACCCTGGAGAGCTGTAAAGAGGGGTTGTGGCTCAGTGGTAGAGCCTCTGCTTGGCATGCAGAAGGTCCCTGGTTCAATCCCCAGTGTCTCCTGTTAAAGGACCGGGCAGGAGGTGATGTGAAAGACCTCTGCCTGAGACCCTGGAGAGCTGTAAAGAGGGGGCTGTGGCTCAGTGGCAGAGCCTCTGCTTGACATGCAGAAGGTCCCTGGTTCAATCCCCAGTGTCTCCTGTTAAAGGACCGGGCAGGAGGTGATGTGAAAGACCTCAGCCTGAGACCCTGGAGAGCTGCTGCCAGTCTGAGTAGACAATGCTGACCGTGGCAGACTAAGGCTCTGATATAAAACACAACTGAAGAAGGGGTCAGGCATTGAGGGATAGCACGGCACCGAAAAAAGGCTGGAAGAAACTGTAACATAATGAAGCTGGCTTATTTATCAGACCATATAGCTCGGTATTAAGTTACTCTGCTTGGCAACAGCTCTCTAGGGCAGGGGTGTCAAACATGTAGACAATGCTGACCATGGTGGACCAAGCTCTGATATAAAACACCTGAAGAAGGGGTCAGGAATTGAGGGATAGCACGACACCGAGAAAAGGCTGGAAGAAACTGTAACATAATGAAGCTGGCTTATTTAGCAGACCATATAGCTCGGTATTAAGTTACTCTGCTTGGCAACAGCTCTCTAGGGCAGGGGTGTCAAACATGCGGGCCGGGGGGCACATCAGGCCCCCGAAGGGCTTCTCTCAGGCCCGCAGTGGAACTGGCTGTCGTCTGCTTCTTCTTCCAGTTCTGCTGCTGCTGCGTCATTGTAGGTTTGCAGCTTACACACC